TGAAAGTTCCAAAAATTTGCGCTTTTAAAAAAAATCGAATATTTCAGGAAGGAAAACAAATTAAAACGTAAGAACTAGAGCTATGTACTTTAAAACAGTATTTTAACGTGCCAGTAATAAATATAATACATATACATATGAATTAATAACAAAAAAAGCTTTTTTCCCTGAGTAATGTGATTCCTTGAGTGGAAATGATCTTATGTGATTACTAACAATGTCATGAACATTCTGAGGAAGACAATTAGTAATACTTTTTAATCTTTTATCTTCAGGGGTTATTCCAATTACCTTAAGGTTCCTTATTCTCCGTAATCGTTTTTCACTAATACTTAAGACAGATAAAAGTGCACTGCAACATATCTCTATGCCTACATTGCCTACAATCACATAATAGGAGAAGGCTGCTTCGGGTTTTTAAGATCTTTTTGATGTGGCACTCTTCTTTTAACTTTAGTGACATCTATTAATCCTTGAATATAAAAATCTTGTTTGTCTTTGCTTTTTATATCATAAAATTTGGAAAAGATATCCACTATAAAATATATGCTATTTTATAAATTTTAGACATAAACATATAATACATCTTAATTATTTTAAACTCATGCTTTCATGAAATAAGATTAATGTTTCAAAATTTTATAGTCTAATATTTTTTATAATTTTAGTATAATTTCATGTAAACATGAGACTTATGTAAACATTAAATTTATGATAAGTTGAAAATGATTTAAATATACTATATATATATATATATATATATATATATATATATATATATATATATATATATATATATATATATATATATATATATATATATATATATATATATATATATATATATAAACAATAACAACAAAACTATTAATACGAAATACTATTAAAATTTTTCCCGTAATGCTCCTAAAAATATGAATCTGCTGAAGAGCGATTTGAAGCAAATTCGCTTTTTTAAAAAAATCAAAAACTTTCAGGTGGCTTTATTTAAATAAAAAGATAAAATTTAAACACATTTTTAACATAAACTGATGAAGCTATCATAGAAGAACACAAAACACACAAAAAGTGAATTTCAAAAAAAAATGTCAAATCAGCCCTTTTGAAAAACACTGATTCAATTATGTCATTCAAAAAACTCAAATATAATTAAAAGTTTATTTTAATTCTGTTTTTATTTTATTGTAACGATTTTTTAAGCTTGAAGTGAAGATCATAAAAATGTAATTTAGTTCTGATAAAAAATATATGATTTAATTTAAAACTAATTTAATAAAGATATATAATTTTATTCTGAAAAAAATTATATATATTTATTTTTAAAGTTAGTTTAGATTTTAAAATATATAATTTAATTTTGATTTATATAATATAAGTTTATTAAAATTAAAGTTAATGCTTGGGTTTAATTTAACTGCCATATTTATTTTAAAATATTACTAAATATTACTGAATATTAAAATTTTATTTCTTAAAAAAAATGAGCTCATTTTTATTGCAATTATTTTTTCGGTTTTTCTTCCTAAACAATTTTTTTTACTCAAAATTAAATGGCTGCATCAAAAATTTGCACAAAACATAAGTTAAACTTTTTTTTTTATAATGTAAGTTTTTAATAAAGAATATACAGCAATATGATTTTAATAAGTAAAGTAAATAAATTTAATAAATAAAGTAAATTTAATAAATAAAGTAAATAAATTAACATAATTTTTTTATTTATTGTCATTTTTTTTCAAATAAAAAGTTATTTGTATTTGTAAAGCTGCAATTAGAAATTTAAGAATTACTCGTTTTAAAAATTCAAAAATTTGACATAAATTGATTCAATTATGTCGAGAAAAGAAGAAAATTTGTTAATATCAAACATTTTTAAGAGTGCAATATTAAATTTAATTATTGAATATTAAAAAAAAATAATAATAAACATTCCCTTATATATATATATATATATATATATATATATATATATATATATATATATATATATATATATATATATATATATATATATATATATATATGTATGTATATATATATATATGTATATATATATATATATATATATATATATATATATATATATATATATATATTATATATATATATATATATAATAATAATAATAATAATAATAATAATAATAATAATAATAATAATAATAATAATAATAATAATAATAATGATAAACATTCCCTTATAGTAATCTATACTTTTCAATACAAAGTGTTTTATTATTTAGAATTTTTTTCTGGGTTATAGATACCAGCATTATCAGCTTGTTAAATTTTACAATAATTTTAACTGTTATAGTTTATATATAATTGTTACTACTAACGTCAGTGGTTAAATGGCTTCCTAACCTGTAATGTTCTTGTTTTTACCCAAATAAAATCTTCTTTGCAAAAGGTTTTATGAAATGCTAATGCAGATTTATAATTTTTTTTTTTCGTTAATGCTTCTCTTATGTTAATGCATTTGTATGTTTACCTGCATTTGTTTCACCTACATAAACTTTTGGAACAGTTGCATTTGCTTATGCTCAGTTTCTTCTTGTTTTTCTTCAGGTGGTTCAGACCATGTTATGATCTTCTTAAAAATTTCATCTTCTAATTCTTCTTCAGACTCAATGTTTCCTTTTTATTGTCTAACTACAACCTTAAAGCTGGCGAAGATTCGTTTCTTAATTTCTTTTGTATCGCTGTTGGTAATCGCGCTTTGTACAGAATCTTCTAGGTTCAAGCATGCCTAGACAGAGCTCTTCTGTTACTTTTCAGTGCCCTAATAAAAAATCGTTATTTAATTTTATTAAATTAATTTTTATTTATAAGAAAAAAAATCATCGAAAGAAATTATAAATCAATTTTTCTAGCCATTTTGATTGTAAATTCAACAATTGTATCATTATAATCAATCGTTCTGGCAGTTGCATTTTGTATCAACAGTTTTGCTAAGTCTTTTCTGTGACCATAGATAATTATCAATTAATTTTGTTTTTAAAAATTATCATTCACAATGAGCAAATGGTGATTCATTTTTATTTATAGTTTTTAGCTTTTTATTATTGAAAAGAAAATTAAAAACTTTATTTAATGAATTATACGATTCTTTTGTTCTTGTATTTTCTTCTTGTATGTTGTTCTTGAATCTTTCATTAATTTTTTTATTTAAGTTGTATAAGTTTATCTTTAGCAGATTGAATTAGATGGTTATACTCATCATCAATTTCAGAAATTAGCCTATGCATATCAATATCATGGCAGCATTCAATTGGTTCAATTTTTTTGTCTGTTGGTTCAGTTGCTTCATTTGGTATATCACCTTTAACCCCTTGGATTTGATGTTATAAAAATTAAAACTATGTTACCAGCATAAATGATTTTTATCAATGTTATAAAATATGTTTAAAAATTATGACCAATAAATTTTCTACTGCTGAAACTTTTATCATCAAAAAATTTTTGGGAACGAGGCAGTAGATTTCTAAAAATAAATTCAGGGCATAGATATCTTAAAAATTTGATGTGGAAAAGTTTTATAACTTAGAATTGAAAAACATTTTAAAACTCTAAATTTACTGCTGTAAAAATTTAAAAAGTAAAATAAAGTTATTATTCCTGTGTGACTGGCAAACACTGTATAAAATTATAGCATCAACAAAAAATTGCAAACCCAGACTTGTTTTGGTACTACTAAAGCGGTATAGGCGCCCAAAAAAAAGTACCCAAAAATATTTTTTTATTTAAGTTTAATAATTTTTGAAAATTATTAACCTTAAATGAATAGGTTTGCTAATATTTATAATATATTAATCTTTGATAAAGTTAGGTTTATTTATTTAAATTGCTTGAGATAATAGATATCTCCTAGAAATCATCAATCATATCTTCCTCATTGTCATCATAGGGTTATCTGTTGAAGTAATTAATCACCTCTTGCAAATAGTAAATTTTTTATCTATAAAATATTTTTGAAGATCCAAGATAAGATGTATTAGCTTTTACGACCCTGCAACACTACTCAGGCAGTAAAAAGTAAAAAAATCAAAGTAACTCAGGTAAATTAGGTATACCAAAAATATTAAACAACCATTTCTTTATAAACTATCAAAGTTTCATAATAAATATATTAATTTAAAAATAGACAATAAAAGCTACTAAAACTAATATTATAAGAAAGTTTATGTAGCACTGCTAGAATAATCTGGCATTTTATAGTTTTTTATTTTCAGTGCTGGGAATAATTGGCAAACTTTATATGTTGATAGTTAATGTTTTAATTAAACTGTGCTGTTTTATTTTCTTTAACAATTTGACTATAAAATATCTGTTGTATTAAGGTAATTGTTTGAAGCAATGTCATTTATTTCAAAATGAAGCAAATCAAGCTGCAGGCGGTTTGTTGAGAGATGTAAGTATTATATGAAATGATTTAAGATTGAAGTCTTCTCTTTTTCTTTTTTTTTTTAAAACACGTTTCTATTTAGGTTCATTTTTGTTCTGTTTTAATTGACTCTGTTGGAAAGTATGGCAGAGAAAAGATTGAAGAAATATTAAACACTGAAGAGAAGATTGATGAAAAGTGTTATTCAGTTAATGGCTGGAAGTAATTGATTGATTTTTTACGATTTTTTTTTTTCAAGAATCAACAAAATATAAAAATAGTAAGCACTATTTCTAGATACAAATGCAATCAGGATGGAACTGTCTTAATGAGAAAAAATGCAGAGCAACCAGGTTATCTATGGTACAACAATATAAATTTAAATTATAAAGCACTCTAATTTTAAGCTATCTTTTCTTTCAAAATCATTGTTTGCTCTTTTTTTAGTGTGATGGCATGTAGTGTTATTAATGTAAAGCCACAAATAGTTTGGGATGCTATACGTAATCCACTTTTTCGTAAAGTTTATGATGACACAGTTGAGGTAGTTGATTGAAAATAAATTACAATCTTATGGTCTTATTAATGTTTAATTACTTACTTGCTATAAATTTTATTATTTATTATATTTTAAAAATATATATATACTTGAAGAAGCCTTTCCTGAAAGTGCTTGTGACCTTGTTTGTCCACATTTAAACAACTTGACCACATCTTTATATAGTAAGTGTTTTAAGAATTTTCGGCAAGAAAAAGCTCTAAGAAACTACAAAGAATAAAACAGCAATACTTTAAAAGAAACAAATAGTATACAAAATAAAAAATCTAATTAAAACAAACTAAAAAAAAATTAAAAATTAAGAAGAAAAATATTTTGTCAAAAAAATAATATACCTAAATATTTTACTGTTTTTGTTTTCTTTTTTTAAGGTGTTAGTTATTTTCTACTACCAAAACTGGAAAAAAGCAGATAAAAATATAACCAAAAGAAAAACATTTTTTGATATACAATTTATTTGCAACTTTTGTCAGTTAGTTTTTTAAGAAAACACTTTATTAATTGCGCTAGAAATATGGACAATTTTGAAATTCATTTTTTAAATGTTATTGTTTAACTTTACTGTTTTTATCAATGGACAGGAAAGCAAAAAATCTAATTGCTATTTATTTGTAAAAAAAATTTTAAGTTGCTGTTTATTTGTAAAAACATTTAAAATTATTTGTAAAAATTTTTAACAAGTTTTTCATGTAAAAAAAATAAAGTCATTAATACTAATATTCAAAAATAAAATATTTGTAGTGACATATCCATGCTGATTTTGATACAGGTAAACCGGTATGGGCGCCCAAATTTTTAGCCCAAACTCCAGCTCAAAGTATTTCAATACTTATATAATACTTACATAAGTTTGTTTTTATATGGTGTAAAGGCTACGTTTGACTATTTTTGGTAGCATTTTAATGTTTTTCGCACTGATTGGTACTTAAGATCTGGAAATATGTTGCCAATACTGATTGTTAAGTCGTTTACTAAAAAAATAAAAAAAGGTCCTTAATGCGTCTACAGAGGTATGACCAGTAAAAAAAACGTAAAACAGTACAATACTTAAACGAAAAACTTTATGGAATAATAATTAAGAAGTTTGATAAATTTAGGACAAAATTTAATTTACTTTTATACATCTATCTAGGATATGACTTTTATATACCTAATTAAAATATAGCAATAAAAGAGAAGTAGATTATAATAATATACAGTAACAACATAAATAATATAGTAATACAAGTATCAGTAATTATAATAGGCAATAATAATAAAAACTCCAGTTACTGGTAATAATAATCAAAATAATAATAAAAGCTAATGATAAAAATAAAAATTTTATTAATAATAATAATAAAAATAAAAATAATAATATCAATGATAAAAATAGCAATATTTATAATAGTGAGAGTTGGAAATAAAAGAGTGATTTAAAAATAATATTAACTTGAGAAAAAGTTATGAAAGAGCAAGTATAGGTAGTAACAAATCAACATTGAAATGAAGAAAGTAGTAGAAAAGAATTTCAAATAGACCAGGTATTAGTAGCTATAAACCAGCATTAAAGTGAATAAAGTTAAAATGGATAGTAGATAATTAGCAGTAGAGTAGCATAGAAATTAGGAAGAATACTTGTTTAATAAAAAATTAAATAGACTGTTTTTGAATTTGGAAAATGTAGGGAGAGATTTTAACTGTGAGGGGAGACTATTCCATGTGCATATGCTCTGATATTTAATCGATTCATGTCCATAACAAACAGTTCTATGTTTAGGTATAGATAATTTGAAACTTTTAGCTGATCAAAGTTGGTAATGAGTATTTTTTTTATAAGTAAATAAAATAGTAAATGGAGGAGATAAAGTTTTATGTTGTTGTTTCCAAATAAACAAACAGTTAGAGTGTGAATAAGGTCTTTTAATTAAAAGTTTTTTTGACATGTAGTAGAGGATATTAGGGTCAGAGTTAAAATGCTGAAAATAGATTGTTTTTAGGGCTTTATTTTGATATATCTTGATATATGTTAAGGAGTGTTTCTAGATTAAGATAATGTCAAATTTTGGCCAACATACTGTTAAACCTGCTTAGTTTCAGTGTTAAGTCTTGAGGATGGGATGCAAAACTTAAATTGGAATCAATTTTGATACCAAGATACTGGATAGAATTCACAGGATCTATTTTTTGACCACCTAATCTGAAACTCAGGTGCTTTTTTTATTTTTGTTTGACTTGATTTAAAGTTACTAATTTCAGTTACTAATTACTAGTTTTTTTGGAATTAAGTGATAATTTATTGGATAGAAGCTACTGGAGTAGATTCCCTGAGTCATAATTAATATTTTTGTTTATCTTTTTAAGTGATTAATTTATTTAGAAGTAGATTGGTGTCATCAGCAAAGTGGTAAGCAGTGGAAAATTTCAGAGAGGTATTAAGATCATTAATAAAAAGAGGGAAAAGCAAGGGGGCTAGATCCTGATCTAGCGTATATAGCAAATTAATTTCTTAATTATACGATCTGATAAAAATTGTGAATAAATTGCATATCAAAACTTTCAATTTTTGTTAAACTGTT